CTTTTTATATAATTTTACATATTATTTAAATAATTAATTTTTTTATTTATTTAAGACCCATAACATTAAATACATTTATTTATTTAATAACACATAAAAATTATATACAAAGATGATACAAAAATATTGTCCCTATATATCTATCTTGTTAATAATTAGATTAAAAGAGCCCTTATCTTGTGAGAAAGTATTTTTATTAAATAATTGATATTTTACAGTTTGGTACTGTAAAAATTATAAAAAGAAAAAAAAAAAACAAACTCATTAAAAATATTTGAAATTTGGATAAGAAAAACTGATTTTGGGAAATCCTGGAGTAGAGATTTGGGGGGTGATGAAGATGAGGAAGAGATGAGGTATTCTGGTAATTCTGGTAAGACAAGACAGTACTAGTATACAGTGAAAACGGAAGCAGAGTTAACGTTGGACTTGGGTGTGTTGTGTTGGGGGAGTAGATTTAGACGTGTGGACTGAGGAGTTAGTTAAATTTTTTTCATGTGTGAGCTGGATCCACTCTTCCAGGACTGCCCCACTTTCCTATTTAATTTAATATTCAATCAAAAAATAAAAATAAAAATTTAAGTATTTAACTTCAAAAAAGGGAGTAAAGAGAGAGAATTTCAGCTTGAGAAGAGCTGGAGACAAGGCTGTATTTTATGTTTTCTTCTTCAACTTCAATCTCCTTATAAATATTCATAATTTTTCTTGAATAATATTGCGAAACCCATCTTTTTTTTTTCTCTTAAATTTCTTTCCTTTTTGGCTGTTTTCTCAACTGGGTATTTGAATTTATTTGAATTTCGAATTGGGTATTCAAAAAGATTGGTTTTTGATGCCGAGCTTAAGTTCAGGCATGTGAAATTTTGTACCTTTCTGCAAAATTTCCTCTGTTTTTCTTGGTTCTGGGGTCAAAAGTGTTTCTGGGTATGAATCCTAGTAACGGGAAAGGATCCATCTCCATGGCTAGTCCCAGCGCCTCTTGGAGGGCTGGAGATGGCGTTCCCGATCAGTTTCCGGCGGGTCTGAGGGTTCTGGTTGTTGATGATGATCCGACATGTCTCGTGATCTTGGAGAAGATGCTTAGGAAATGTCTTTATGAAGGTAGGCTTGTGTTTCTTACATGTTTTTCTTTTTTCTCTGATTTCAATTTCCTCTTCAAGATGGCTTGTTTCTTTTCTTCTTTTTAGGATGTTTATTACTTGTAAAAGTATAATTTCTTGTGTTTTTTTAGTTTCTGTTCGATTTTTGTTTCTGGGTTTTCAGTAAGAGAAAGAAAGAAATGAAGCCTCTTTCTCAGATTTGGGAACTGCATGAAATCGTCAATGTTTTCAGCTTTAATTATGTTCTGAATCAAATCATGGGTTACGACAATGTTCTGTTGTAACTTTGTCTTGTTCAAAAGAGGTCAATTTGAGTTCTGATTTGTTCGTATGTGTTAAAGACTGTGTTTTCTTCTGAATGTGTGTTGGTTTATGGTCTTCTAATTTGCGGTTGATTGATTGATTAAGTTTCTTGGGGGATTTTACAGTAACCAAATGTGATCGAGCAGAAACGGCATTATCTTTGTTAAGAGAGAACAAGAATGGATTTGATATTGTTATCAGTGATGTCCACATGCCAGACATGGATGGATTCAAGCTTCTTGAGCATATTGGTTTGGAGATGGATCTCCCAGTTATCAGTAAGTCACCACCTTGGATTTGTAATTTTACGGATTTTGGTGGTACCTTTAGACCTTATATTTGACTTGTATATGTTCACAGTGATGTCTGCGGATGATGGGAAAGATGTTGTCATGAAGGGTGTAACTCATGGTGCTTGTGATTATCTAATCAAACCAGTTCGTAGAGAGGCGTTGAAGAACATATGGCAGCATGTTGTCCGGAAGAGGAGGAATGAGTGGAGGGATTTTGAGCAATCAGGAAGCCTAGAAGAAGGAGATCGGCAGCAAAAGCAATCTGATGAGGCCGATTACTCATCTTCAGCCAATGAAGGGAACTGGAAAAACTCCAAAAAGAGGAAAGATGATGAAGAAGAACCAGAGGAGCGGGATGATACATCCACACTAAAGAAGCCAAGGGTCGTTTGGTCGGTGGAACTCCATCAACAGTTTGTTGGTGCAGTCAATCAGCTAGGCATTGACAGTATGAGTCTTAAGCCCTTATCTTGCTGCCGCTTAATAGCTGCATTTTATTTTACCTGCACATTCAGTACATGCTACGTTATTTCCTCACATTTATTTCCCTAATTTACCAATGCAGAGGCTGTTCCGAAGAAAATTTTGGAGTTGATGAATGTTCCTGGACTCACTAGGGAAAATGTCGCTAGCCACCTTCAGGTAGGATACAATTTTCCAAAAAAAATCTCGAGTGAGATTTCCATATAACTTTTCTCCATTTGTAACTTTATGTGTTTTCATATGATTCAGAAATACAGGTTGTATCTTAGAAGGCTAAGTGGAGTGTCGTCACATCCAAACAACTTGACTGGTTCTTTTATGAATCCTCAAGAAGCAACTTTTGGGCAACTCTCTTCTCTCAATGGGCTTGAACTTCAAAGTCTTGCTGCCACTGGTCCATTCACAGCACACAGTCTCGCCACACTACAAGCAGCAGGGCTTGGTAGGTCAACTGCAAAATCTGGCATTCATATGCCGCTTGTTGATCAGAGGAACCTTTTTAGCTTTGAAAATCCTAAGTTGAGACTCGGTGAGGGGCAGCAACAACTTATGCCCAGTAATAAGCAGATAGGCTTACTTCATGGAATCCCGACAAACATGGAGCCAAAGCAACTTGCCAATTTGCACCATACTGCACAATCCATTGGAAACATGAATATGCAAGTCAATTCCCAAGGAGGGCAAAATAGCCAGAATAATTCTCTACTGATGCAAATGGCTCAGTCACAGTCAAGAGGGCAGATACCTAATGAGATGACTGGTGGTCATGTTCCAAGGCTTCCTTCAACCATAGGACAGCCTATCTTAACAACTGGAATTGGTGCTAATGTCTCTCCAAGAAATGGAATTCCAGAAAACATCAGGAGCGCTGGTTACAATCCTGTTTCACAAACCTCCTCAATGTTGAACTTCCCCATGAACAACGCTTCAGAATTGCCTGTTAATGGCTTCCCTCTAGGAAGTACTTCTGGAGTATCCAGTCTCCCATCCAAAGGGTCATTTCAGCCAGATGTTAACTCGGACATTAAAGGATCAGTGGGATTTATACCAAGTTTTGATATATTTAACGACTTGCAGCAGCATAAATCCCAACATTGGGAGCTAGATAATGTGGGCATTACGTTTGATGCTTCACGGCATTCAAACTCTGCGCAAGGCAGTCTTGATCTTGCACAATCAGTTTTAGCACATCAAGGGTTTCCTTCTGGCCAGATGACAGGACAGAACCGGAACACCGCCACCATTGGAAACACAATGTTCTCATCAAATAATGGAACTGAGAATGGGAATGCACAAAATGTTAGCCCTCACCTAAACGCCCTTCTTTTCGATAATCCAATAAGAGTTAAGACTGAGACATTTCATGATTCTAATCCTGCCATTATCTTTCCCGAGCCCTTTGGTCAAGAGGACCTCATGAGTGCACTTCTGAAGCAGGTTGGTTTCTCTCTCAATATCATTCAATCTTTGTTTTTTACATACTCACTCTTGCTTTGATGAACTGATGGATGTGATTACTAACATTTAATATTCTCCCCTTTTCTGGCAGCAGGAAGGCATGCCACCAGCTGAACATGAGTTTGATATTGATGGGTATTCCATGGATGATATTTCAGTGTAGGGCAATTCCCATCCTCCAATGTCTATATGGTTGCAGTTTCCAATGTACATAATTGCTATCGCAGAATTCTTTCTCTTCTGCAATCAGACTGCAGGAGCTCAACTTTCAGTTTTCCGCAAGAAACAGGGTTTTCTAGATTTCATATACTGCATCTTCCTTTGTGAATATCTAGTTATGCTGGCTTCTTTTGGACATAGAAGGATCAGAGGAATGAATAATCAGGATTGACCAGGTTTCATCTGTGCCAGAGCTAAAATTATGAAGCACTGAAGATACAGCTGCGTAACATGCAAAGGCACACCTGAAAATTTTTGATTGTTTTTGGTAGCAAAAGTTTAGCAAAGAAGCAACTAATTGTAGGGTGCTTTTGAAGGTGTCAAGTCATGAAGAATATTGCTTTTAGGCAGCTGCAGACTGTAGGAGCTTTTCTATTCTGACTCTAATAACAGATTAAGTTTGCTGCTATTTGTTTCTTTCATTCTTCACAGATTCCCCCTTTCCTGATTGTCATTCCTCTTTCCGGTTTCATTTTAATTATTATTTTTGTTGAAGGAATTGACTTCGATGTACATATTCCATTTGATTGCTCTTTAGACATAAGTCTAAGCATTCGTTTCTGGCTTCGTTCTTTTGTACTTAAATTTGTTGAAATTTTCAATTGGTTTCTTCCGTTCTCTCCCAACTCTCCATATTCATGGGGATTCCTTTTTTCACAAGAGTTATAGATATGAAGTTTTGGACATAAACCTTGAAGAATGGGATTGCTTTTATAATAAATATGACGTATGTTGTGTATGTTTTTGTTCTGATTGAAGGAATGCCTTGAATCCCCAAGAATGCCGACATGTTTCCCTTTATTTATTTGCGTACGTCTTCAAGCAAGAGACGGTAGAATAGTTAATGAAAAAGAATTGGGTAGATACGAAATATAGATTCAAGTTACAAAAAAAAACAAGCATTGAGACAAATTTTCTATTGAGTGAAAAAGAAAGGACCAAAGTCTTAAAACATCTGGCATTTGCTCTCTTCAATTCTTTGTCTTCATTCAATAACTATGTCATAAATGAGTGACAATGAAAACTTTTAGGGACCATCACAAAATTCAGGAGAAGGGGTGGTGAAAATTGAAAGATAATCAGACTGTCCACAAATTATATGCATCCAACAATAGTGTTATACAAAGTCACAATGTGTATGTGTCTATCAGCATTTCTGAATATGACTATAAACAAGAAGCCTAGACATAACTATAAAATCAATGGCATCATCTATATACGAATCAAGGCGTGGGCGTCTGCGGTAATGACAAACCACATTGCTGAGCAAGTAATATTAAATCTCTGAAAGAATGAACAAATCAGCATCAGCTGCAAGCAAAACCAAGCAGTAAGTTGCTGCAGACACATGAAGAATACAACTTTGGGATGACCAGTGAAACCAGGCAGTGCCTTGCCCTGACTATTGCTGCATCAATATGAATGCCACAAGTGCTAAGAAGATTGAAAGGATTATAGCAGGGCCCTTTCTATTACTGCTGCCAGTAGGACGTATTGAAGGAAGTGCACACTCCTCTCCATTGAAGAACACTTTTGTTGGGAACCCATCACCTGCTGCCACATTAATTCCGGGGGTAGTTTTCTTGGTAAATGAGATAACTGACTGTTGTTTTCCAGGCACTGGAGGATCCTTAGATGGGTTAGCTCCGGCTGTTTCTGCTGTAAGATAGTTCAACCCTGGTTGGCCTTGCATGAATATGGTGTTGTCAACATTACTCAAGAGACTTCCATTGAATGAATATGTTTTCTCAAAACCAGCGGCTGCTTTATCCAATTCTACTGCAGCAAACCAATCAGCAAAAGCAGTTTCATCCCAGTTGAAAAGAGTGATTCTTGCACTCCATCCATTAGTATAGTCTGTGTAAACATGCCAGTTGATGCTGACCCCACAATTGTCACTACAAGGCAATGGATTAGGCACTGGCAGGTGTTTAAGATCAGCCCAAGCTTTGGCCATGTCAGTACGGTTCTCAAATGGAACAAGAAGTGCCTCGGATGGAAGAAGCATAGCTGAGGCAGTAGTACTACAAGTACTAGTCGTGCTGCTGGAACACCCACATGCACAAGTTCCACAGGGAATAACTGATTCGTTGTAGTATGCAGAAAATGACACGCAGCATTTAGGGCTCACCCCCTTGGGCTGTGTAATATTGCAAACCACCTGCCAACTGGCAAATGCAGTTGTATTTGATGGCAAGCCACTTGGATCTGGAAACTGGCTAGGGCTAACCCGTACAGGCTGGCCACATGCATACTCAGGGTTCAGGGTTCCATTGATATTCCAGTTTTGAGGCGGGGAGAGCTCTGAACGATTGAGATCTGGAGGCATTTTATACACCTGCATCTGAAATGATGAAGTTGACTTGCTTGGGTCCATGGTTGGTGGCAAGATAGTACCATTTCGGCAACATGAAGGGATCTGTCCAAGGGTTGTATCATTGAACTTTGTTGGAGGCAGGTCAATAATGGTTGGCCTTCTTTCACAATTCAAAACATTAGCAAAGTCTAGAGACTGATAGTAAGTTCCTTGTGGACCAAATAAGCACTCAGATGCATCAACTACATATGGATAAGCCCCTTTCATGGTATAGATAAATTCTTCGCTCATCCAATCGAAGCTCAACTTCCAATTATCAAGACGCCCAATTGGATTATGGTTTGCAATTGTAACTTGTGCCCAGTAATTCGAATCATATGTTCTGATAACATCATACATGATTGTAAGATCACCACTTTGCCGGGGAAGGAACTCATCAGCTCCTGTAAGATTTGACTTGTAATTGGGGTTTTTGGTACAACAGACTTGCATCACATTTGTGCCTGAACAATCAAGAAAAAAACAGATAAACCAATCGACCATCAATTTTTCAAAACAACAAAGACAAATGAAACAAAATCAAAACCATACTAAATCTTCTCATATCTGCCTTCTATAACAAGGCAACAGAAAATTCGAAGATCATTCTTTATCATTCCTAGAGAAGAAGACAGTACAGCTGATAAAAAAACAAAAACTAGATAAAATGTTTTTTCTTCACATAGAAGCAGCAACATAACAGTTTCTATATATGGTAAAATATTTCACTTCTACAGTTCCATCTATGATCTATCCCTGCTAACTAAGTTCCTTATCTGTCTATTATCAAATTTTTCTTTCCAAATCGAAACAGGAGCAGTAGCAATTATTAAAAACATGAAACCACTAAATTAAAAGTTATCAATCACCCAATTTGCACCTAAGAGAAATCCTACAATATTAAAGCTTTCTCTAGGATTCTCTCAAATCAGATGATCCAATTCTCCTATCAAGACAAAGAAATATAGAAATTTGACCAAACAGATCAAAATCCATCCCAATAAACCACATCTGAGGAAATATCATAAAAAAACCCACAATGCACCATTGACAGCAAGTCAGGAAGCAAAGCGAATTACCTTGTAGAGAAGCAGCAGGACACTGAAAGCCGTCATTGGCAAGTTGAATAGTAGACGGCATGGGCACAGCAGGGGGCGCCACACCGAACTGCGTTCCGACAAGCTGAACCTGAACCTGCATCTGGGTCACATCTCCAGCAGTCTCAATCGCCGTTTTCAGATCAGTCGTCGGATACCCAGAAAAAGTAGTCCCGTTCCCAACACTTGCCGGCAAACTACTCCCATCAGTCAGAACTGCATTCGTCGCCGACACCAACAGCTCATCGTGCTTGAACCCCACAAAAACATTCCAGGATTTCAGCTCCTCATCCCCGTTGTTCAGCACCGTCAACGTTGACGCGAACCGGTACGGCTGGTGCGTCGCATTAGTGGGCTTCAATTGCGATCCAGTGCCATAGACATAAGAAACAAACACCCCATTACATGAATCCGCCGCCGGAGACGGTGCTACAGCGGATTGAGAAACCGCAAAAGGTAGCATAACCGCACAAAACAGGATCAAAAGCTTTAAACTTGAGATCATATCGAAGAACCTGAAGGTCATGGTTTCTGGGTTTCGTTTCTTCTTGGTTTAGGCGAGTTTGGAAGGAAAATTTGTAGTGAATCGGAAGAAGTAAACGCCGCGTGGAGGGAGTGCGTGTACAGCTTGGTGGAAGCTGTATTAAGGTAACATGTTCCGACGGGGAAGAAATTATATTTGTTGGGGAAAATATCAAAATATTTGATAGCCGTCGATGAAGTGTTCAAAAGGAAGAATTATTCTTCATTCTGGGGTCTAGGTTTGAACTTTTTTTCTTTTTGATTTGTTAAACAAAAAAATGCTTTCCCATCCTGTGTCCTTCGGAACAACTGAAGGAAAGGACTTATTTTACCTTAAAACTGTTTTACATCATTGATGACATACAATTTGTTAGGTAAAATTATTTAAATATTTTTGATAAAATAATGTAAAAATATATTTAAATAATTTTATAGAATAAATTACATATAATTTATTTTGTAAAACAGTTTTTTCTTATTTTATTTTACATTTTTTTAACAAAAAGTGATTTATAGATTGTTCGTGTATAAGATTTAATTTATGGGTTTATTAAAGGTATTTTAATAATTTTAATATTTGAATCGGACATTATTATATTTTAATATGTTATTTGATTTTTAAAATATTTTTTAATTATTTTTATTGAAAAAATAAAAATTAATTTTAATTTTATTAATTATACACTTAAAATTATATACTTGTTATTAATGTTAGAAATAAAGTTTATTTTTATATTTTTTAATATAAATTAATAAAAAGTAGTAAAATTAATATATTCTTAAGGTACGTATTAAATAAATTCAATAAAACATAGTTAAATAATGAAAAGTCAATATATTTTTATACTTAAATGGTCAAGAATAAGAATAAAAAAATACTTTTAATGAATTAACACATAAGTATAAGTGTGATTTGGAAGCTAATAGATATTGATTTCACTTTTTTCAAATAAAAATTTGAAAAAGCAAGTATTAACATAAAAAATTAAATGTAAAAATATTCTAAAATTATATTGTTTTAATAAAATTTTATTAAAAAACTAAATTATCATAATTTTTAAAGTAAGAATGAAATTATTATAAATTTTTTCATATTAATTTATTAAAATAATATAGTTTTATCGTATTTTTTGTTTACTTTTTTATAATAAAAGTTGATATCAATTAATCTCTAAAAAAATAATATAAATTATAAATTTTTTTATTTTGCAATCCAAATCACACTTAATTAAAAAACAGAAATCAATGAACAAAAAATAGAGCATTTGATTTAATTTATACAATTTAATGTGGTTTAAAATACACCTTTTTTTATAAATTAAAAGTTTTTCTATCATATACCCTTAAAATATAAAATAAATGTGCATTTATTACACTTTTTTATCATTAATACATAACATAAAACTAAAATTGATATTAATTTTATCAATTATTTAATAAAAAATATTCATGTGTCATAAATATTAAAATTAATGTTAACTTTTTTTAAAATAAATTAATATATAATTAATAATAAAAAATTCAATAAATATATTTTTATCCCATACCCGAACCCAATCAAATAAGGAAAAGGGTTGAAGAAAGTGCCGTTGGCATGCCTTTTCTCTTTCTTTGGATTTGAATTTGGATGTCATTTTAGATCCGTTGGGAAATTGGGACCACTTCGGGGCATGGTTTGTATTTGTTTTGTTTTACTTAATCCATTTTTTTTTAATTGTATTTGAAAAAATTGAATAGCAGTTAGAACTTTAACAAATGGAAGTGAGTTAATAGTTTTTTCTTTGATAATAAATGGTAAGAACAAATGCCCTAAATGGATGTTTTAATTGGTAAAAATATTTAAAATTTATTGGTATCTGTTAACGATTTAAATAATTTAATGATTTTTTTTATTAAAAATAAAAAATTTTCAATTCGACTCATATAATATATCAGTAAGTGAAATAAGAAACAACCAAGGTTAAAAGAAAAAAGAAAAAAACAGCTAATTGGAACCCAAAATTATGACTTTTTTTTTTTTTTTTTATCCTTTGATGGGAAGGATTTGTTAAAGACTTTTATGGCTTTCATTCATGCATTTCATGATTGACTGATTCTCTTACGTTTCCCATTGTTTGACAATAATTGAGTTTAACTTGATTTTATAATGAATCCTGCATTTATATGGCATGAAATTGAAACTTGAACTAAACCACTTTTTTTTTCTTTTTTTACTAACAACCTCTCAAAAGTTGAAAATGTCTTATGGGGCAGTCTCATCCAAATAAGTCATCAAGGTTTTGCCATCTAAATAATGAGAGTTTTTAAAGTATGATTTGTGTAGTTTGGGTTGACGAAATGAGAAAATTATATATGTTTAAAATTTTTATAAATTATACAATAAGAGAAAACTTTTAATTTATTTTTTTATCACATAATTCAAATTTAAAAATATTTTATTTTTATTAAAGAATTAAAATTTGTTAATAACCTAAATAGTTCAGTAGCTCTTTTTTTTTTATTGGAAGTAAAAGATTATGAATTTGAGTCGCATGACATGTGGGTAGAGTGAGATAAAAGATAGGAGATGGTTGCTTCTCATTGTGCAACTGATATAAAAAAATTAAAATTAAAAAAAATATGTTGATAATTAAAATATTAAAAATTAAAATAAAAGTATTAAAATACTTTTTATAAATTAATATGCAAGAAAAATTAATTAAATATATTTAAATAATTTTAACAAAAATTTTAATATTTAAAATAATAAAAGCTTTTTAATTTTAATTATCTTTTAAAAAATTATGGTTGAGTTTTAAGATGGGTGGGTGGATGACAGATAAAAGAATTTAATTAATCATGAGAGATTGCAGGCGCAATCCCTGGGTTGTTTTGCGGCCACGTCTCTTTCTCCTCTCCAAACCTACTTATTCTCAGAACATCCCAGCCCACTATATTTATGAGGCAACAAAAATCCTCTTATATTTTCTCAGGGGCCCAATACGCATAGGAACTAAGAACGGGACATCTTAAAGCCCAATTCAGTCTCTTAAAGTTAAATGATGGAATACAAAAGCCCGAATTCTTTTGGGCCGTTCTAATATACCGTTTCCACTTTCCAGCTAGTGAGCGGAATTTCAAATCGCAGTCCCCTTCCCACAAAAATTCCCTTAGAAAAAAAAAAAAAACACAAAACAAAAAGGCAGTGTGGTGACCCTAAAAATGTTATGATAATGTTACTTTGCATTCGGATCTGCCTATTTATTTTAACTATTAGTGAAAGGATGGAATTTTATTATTTCTATATCTATCTCTTCATCAATGGTCATATATAATGCGTGAACAACATTTGCTTTCTCTAAAGTTATACGTTTTAGGGTTACAAAAGAAAAAAAAAAAGGGTTATTTGTTCACCGGCTCCAGCTCTATTAAAATTTTCTTGGCTGTTATTTGTCACCTAATTTTTTTTACATTTATTTCCTTTTTTTCTTTTTCACTTCACACATGGCTGGAATTGTTGCGGGCGAACACTTAATCTTTAGCTTACAGGTTGTTTTGTTCTTTCCAGCACGTACCAGTTTGGACAAGTCTTGCTATGATCTCATCGAAAACTACATCTCTTTGACATGCATGTTTGATAATTGATTTATTTCAGGCAACTTACACATGTCATATGTATCCACCCTGAATTTTCAGGACACTCTTATGTACCATCCGTCGGCCGGTCACATGAATAGAGCCAATTGTATCTTCATTGCGCCCACCTTATCTTCTTTAGCATCCCAATGCCCCCATTCACACCTAACGATAGGTAGTTATTCAAACTCAAACTCGAGTCGAATTTATATGAAGTTAATCAATTTGAACTCGAGTTTAGAAGATACGAAGCTCAACTAAGTTTGAGTACAATATATTAACTCAGCTTGGTGGCTGCACTGCACTTTGAGTCGTGAATAACCTTAATCAGATCAAAATTGTGAGTCATCAAAATGTAGTATGGCAGTAGATTAGATAGAATTCTCATGCTGAACCTAGCTTATGGGATGGGTGGAAGTGGTACTACTTACCACTCACTCAACTAAAATTCGAGAGTTCTTAACTTTATTCTCCTTTTCCATTCCTCAAAAATTATAGTTTGTTAAAAAAAAAAAGAAAAAAAGAAGAAGAATTCTCATGCTTAAATGAATGAAAATGATGTACTTCGTTACTGCAGGGACGATGAGACAATTATTGTGCCATCGATCTTGACTTTATAATTAGTCAGGCATGAAAAATTAGACAATGACATTTAATCATCAAACCAAATCAACCGCCTAGGTTGCTCAAGTGGGTCACCTGAAAATTTTCAAACCAACAGCTAAATTGGGTGAAAAAGATGACCATTAATTGTTAATAGAATCTGGGGTTTGCATCTTCTGTTAAATGATTATTTTTGTACTTTATCGCAAATGCACGCATTAAATGAATATCTCGATTTCTATCACTAATCATAATAGTATTAGATTAAAACATTTCTGTTTTCAAAATGCATATATATCATGATTTGTAATTATTAAGCAATTAAAAGATTTTATTTTATTTTTTAAATTTTGACATGTTCTAGATCAGTTTTTTCTGACTAGCGAGTAATTTCTCTTTGAGTTTCCTGAAGAGTTTGTGTTGGTGTATCTATCACATATCAATATGTGCATTCAAAAAAATTAAATTTCTTTAAGTTTTGATCACAAAAGTTAAATTTTAAACTTGACCTTAAAATAATACTTAATTATTAAGAGATATAATTCTAGGTTGAATTAAAAGATTCTTAATGAAAGGCCAGATAAGATGTTGGCAAAAGGAGTAAAAAAAAAAAAAGTCAAATAAGATATTAATTGTCCCTAACACTTTCATCAGGGCACAAGGAAAAAACAGTGTTCATGTTTTTCAAGCTGAAGTTGCTGTCAAGAATTTTTATATAAATGCATCAAAAAACCACTGAATCACTGATCACCCTGTAAATGCTTTTTGGGGATAAATGTAGCTTTTGTAGAAGTTCTACTTAAATTGATTTGTTGCAGAAGTTCTGTCACGCGAAACTGGGGTGTTTAGCAAATTTTATTGTAGAA